AGTAACTGCAAATCTGGATTATGATATAAAAAACAAACAATGAAACAAGCAATCCTTTTATGTTATTTAAAAATCTCACTGTGGCAAAAAAGCTACTCCTGGCTTGTTAGGTGAGTGTCTGATATTATAAGCTCTGTTGACTTACAGATGGTTCTGTCGTGTTCAGTGATTTGCCCATGTTCTCAAAAAATAAAGGAGAATAAAATTATTTCTGCAGATACATCACAGTAAATTTTAAAAGCCAAATGTCCCTGTGCTTAAAGGATTTCCTGTGACCACAACTGATTTTTTGAAAAATCTGTATTAATACTTTCACATCAAAATGGCAACTTTTAATTGGTAGTGATTAGTCGGAGCTGGAGATCAGTCTATACAAACAAAATATAATGATGATAATAATAATAATAATAATAATAATAATAATAATAATAATAGAGTATATTTATTGAGTGCTTCCTATGTGACATGCATTGGGTTAACCATTTTACATGGATTAATTTATTTAATCTTCACAACCCTAAGCAGTAGCAGTATTTTTATTCTCATTTTATAGATGAGAAAACTAAGTCATGGGGAGATAAAATAACTTGTCCAACTCACAAAAGGTTGTATGAGGATTTGGCCTGATTCCATAAGGCTACACTATTTTGAAAAATCTATATTAATACTTTCACATCAAAATGGCAACTTTTAATTGGTAGTGATTAGTCGGAGCTGGAGATCAGTCTATACAAACAAAATATAATGATAATGATAATAATAATAATAGAGTATATTTATTGAGTACTTCCTATGTGCCATGCATGGGGTTAACCATTTTACATGGATTAATTTATTTAATCTTCACAACCCTAAGCAGTAGCAGTATTTTTATTCTCATTTTATAGATGAGAAAACTAAGTCATAGGGAAATAAAATAACTTGTCCAACTCGCAAAAGGTTGTATGAGGATTTGGTCTGATTCCATAAGGCTACACTTAGGTACAAGCTCTACTCACAGGCCCTATTAAATCACTTGTATTCTTGTAATTCCATTCTTATTTGATATTTTTCACATTCACGAGCATCTTAAAATTAAAATTTTAAAGGTATAAGGATTCCTGAAGTGATAATCAGGGAGAATAAATTTTGCTTCAGAATACATCTAACTTATTCTTAAAGAAGGAGACGCTGGTACCATGTGGAAGAAAATGCCCATGAGTAAGAAATAGAAGAATGAGTCTGGTGGCCAGAACAGTTCATAAGGTAAAGCTTTAGGTCCAGACATATTAATCACACTAATATAGGAAGGAAAAAGCCAATATAAAGAAACTACCTTTTAATTGAAATCTCTATGTATGATGATATATCAGTTTGGTTACCGTGGCTGAGAGGACACATTACTATGCAGATTTAGGATATAGATCTTGGAGCCAGACTGCCTGGATTCAAACCCAGCTCTATCACTTACTCGCCCTGTAATCTAGGGCAAATGTGACTCTGTTTCTTCATCTGTAAAATGGGTTAGTAGTACCTACATCGCAGGATCATTGTGGGATTAAATGAATACCAAGCATTTAGAAGAGTATAGCAAGTATACCAAGCACTTAGAACAGTGTCTGGCATGTAGTTAAGTACCACAGGGTGTTCAATCATCATCATCATCCTCACCATCATCACCATGAGGTGATTAAAACATGTGGCAAAGATATTGACAGAGGTTTTATATTTAGACATTCTCAGGGCTTTCACACTACTCCTGGCTTGTTAGGTGAGTGTCTGATATTATAAGCTCTGTTGACTTACAGATGGTTCCGTCATGTTCAGTGATTTGCCCATGTTCTCAAAAAATAAAGGAGAATAAAATTATTTCTGAAGATACATAACAGTAAATTTTAAAAGCCAAATGTCCCTGTGCTTAAAGGATTTCCTGTGACCACAACTGATTTTTTGAAAAATCTATATTAATACTTTCACATCAAAATGGCAACTTTTAATTGGTAGTGATTAGTCGGAGCTGGAGATCAGTCTATACAAACAAAATATAATGATAATGATAATAATAATAATAGAGTATATTTATTGAGTACTTCCTATGTGCCATGCATGGGGTTAACCATTTTACATGGATTAATTTATTTAATCTTCACAACCCTAAGCAGTAGCAGTATTTTTATTCTCATTTTATAGATGAGAAAACTAAGTCATAGGGAAATAAAATAACTTGTCCAACTCGCAAAAGGTTGTATGAGGATTTGGTCTGATTCCATAAGGCTACACTTAGGTACAAGCTCTACTCACAGGCCCTATTAAATCACTTGTATTCTTGTAATTCCATTCTTATTTGATATTTTTCACATTCACGAGCATCTTAAAATTAAAATTTTAAAGGTATAAGGATTCCTGAAGTGATAATCAGGGAGAATAAATTTTGCTTCAGAATACATCTAACTTATTCTTAAAGAAGGAGACGCTGGTACCATGTGGAAGAAAATGCCCATGAGTAAGAAATAGAAGAATGAGTCTGGTGGCCAGAACAGTTCATAAGGTAAAGCTTTAGGTCCAGACATATTAATCACACTAATATAGGAAGGAAAAAGCCAATATAAAGAAACCACCTTTTAACTGAAATCTCTATGTATGATGATATATCAGTTTGGTTACCGTGGCTGAGAGGACACATTACTATGCAGATTTAGGATATAGATCTTGGAGCCAGACTGCCTGGATTCAAACCCAGCTCTATCACTTACTCGCCCTGTAATCTAGGGCAAATGTGACTCTGTTTCTTCATCTGTAAAATGGGTTAGTAGTACCTACATCACAGGGTCATTGTGGGATTAAATGAATACCAAGCATTTAGAAGAGTATAGCAAGTATACCAAGCACTTAGAACAGTGTCTGGCATGTAGTTAAGTACCACAGGGTGTTCAATCATCATCATCATCCTTACCATCATCACCATGAGGTGATTAAAACATGTGGCAAAGATATTGACAGAGGTTTTATATTTAGACATTCTCACGGCTTTCACGTAGGAGAAGTAGACAAGAGAGTCAACTTATCTTAGATGAACTTTGCTAAATAAGGCAATTCTTAAATCCCCTAGATTTCTTTTGTTTTATAATCTGAGTGCTAATTTAAAACTAATCAACCACTATGTTGTCATAACACACTATGAAGATGGAATTTTGCGCCCAGCAAAAGGGGATTTAACTTATAAATTACGTAAGAATTAGATGAAACAGAGAGACTGAGCACTTATGTTGAAAATCGGAAGGTGGGGATGAAAAACTCATGACACAGTCCTGCCTGCAAAGTCTATCTCGTAGAACACCACTCTAATAGCTTCTCGCACATTTAAATCTTCACTCCTGCCTTCTTCAGAGAATCAGAATGAATGCTCTCTGAAGCGGAGTGCTAATTTAAAACTAATCAACCACTATGTTGTCATAACACACTATGAAGATGGAATTTCGCGCCCAGCAAAAGGGGATTTAACATATAAATTACGTAAGAATTAGATGAAACAGAGAGACTGAGCACTTATGTTGAAAATCTGAAGGTGGGGATGAAAAAATCATGACACAGTCCTGCCTGCAAAATCTATCTCGTAGAACACCACTCTAATAGCTTCTCGCACATTTAAATCTTCACTCCGGCCTTCTGCAGAGAATCAGAATGAATGCTCTCTGAAGCGTTTTGAGGGCATTCATGGGGGTGAAACAGCTTTATTCCATCAGGGCAATTTGGCCCGACTGCCAGCTCACCTATGGGGAAGGCTGGCAAAATTCCAAAGGTGATTAGTGTTGTATCTATTATTTCACAGGATGGAGTGTGTTTGGGTGGATGGAAGGAAAAGCCTATAATTTCATAGCTGTTAGAACATTTCTGCTAAACCTCTTTTTATTCTAAAAATTGGTGAAAGAATCTCAACCTTCAATATGATTCGAGGGCACTGTACTGTCACCCGAATAGAATGCACTCACAGGTGTTACTAAATCTTGACGGGGCTAGTTGGAAGAGTGTAAATACTTCCTCTAAAATATTGATTACCTTTTGACCTACTTTTTGTGAGATAGAAATCATTTCTTAAATTATTTGAACTCTGAGAATTTTTCTCCATTAATATAAGATTAAAGTTGTGAGCTTAACCTACAACTATTAGGAAAAAGTATTGCTTTTTAAAAGTGTGTCACTGCTGTTTCGTTTAGGAGGAATGACTTGGGTTAAACCAAACATTGACTTATCAGCTATTTCAATACCCATATTCATCACCTCCTGTAAAGTGTACACATTCTTCTCGTTTCTACAGCTCCTTTGAATTACATTCTAAATGACTACCATGTAAATAAATTAGAACAACAATCATGTCATGCTTTTTTGTCGTCATGGGTCATTTTCCTCAAATGCTTAGTAATTTCCTTGCACGTGTGTAATTAGGTGAAGAAGCTCCACCCAAGCGTCCATGGGTCAGCTATGTGGACTCTAGCTGCCAAAGGCGCTTCTCCTTCTGAACAGAGCGCTTTGCTCAGCCAGTGTAGACATGGCCTGATAAACAATGGAACTTCTCCCTTGAGAACTGGAGTTTGGATTGATCTAATTTAACTCAAAAAATGTGTAAAGGTTTGATGAGCAATTAAAATGCCTGCATTTTAGTAAAATGGGAGCTCAAATTGGCAGCCATGTGAAAAATAGCATCATTTATAATCAGCTCAAAAGCCAGTGGCACTCACTGTTGCAAAAGCTAATCTAGGGACTATCAAATCAAAGTTCTTACATGAGCTTAAATATATGTGGCAGGGAGGTTGTTCTTGCAGGTTTCTATCTGTCAGGTCCTAACGCTAAATCTGTCAGAATGCCACACAGCCATGTCACTTTTAACCAAGATATCACATATATTGTGGGAAAGAACCTGCTTTGTGTTTTCTTCCCTAGGATTTTACTGGGAAAAGCAAAAGTAAAAGAAACTTTTTTTTTTTGACACTGCATTTTCATTTTGCAGATGCTGAGGCTGATGGAGTGAGTAATGGAGCGGGTGGACAACTGTAGGTGGACAACTGGTGGGCTCCAACCAGCCCACAATGACAGCAGGGAGTATATTCAGACACACCCAGAGAAATCTGCCCAGGGTGAAACAAATACCTTTGAGGTTAGAATCAGGTGTGTGAAGAATGCTGGAAACATGATTCTTATTTTGCTGTTGCTGTTGTTGTTTGCATTTATGTTTGTCAAGAAAAGTGGGAATGCTTGGTGGTTTTTGCCCTTTCTTCCAACTCTTTCAGTTGTGTAAAACACACCCAAAAGTTTAACCCACTATCTCTCCTAGGATTTTATGCTCTACTCCACTCTTTCGAAGGTCTTCAATTTTATCAAAGCTTTAGATTTCAAAGGCATGACTGTGGTTTTTCATACTCAAAAATATTTTGATTTTGGAGATATTTTTAAATTGCAAATTGAACTTTGATAGGCTTTACCATTTGTCCATTTCTTTAGGAAAGTAAATGCTATTTATAGGCTATGAGTTAGCTGCAAGAAACCTAAGAAAATTATGTTCAAGTTATCTTTAAGTATAGATGTTCACATTATCTTTAAACAGTTGTTAAATGGCTCAGAAAAATCAAGCAATGTTAACATTTTTAGAAAATAACCACATTTTCTTGCAGGATGAAGTTGTGCTTAATAGCCTATGTTTAATTCATTCAGAAACTACACGATCTTTGTTGCTATATTTTGTTAGAAAGGAAGGAGAGGCTGTTTCTACAGGTGTCATAGAAAAATCAATACTGAGCCACGGATTATTGGATCCCATAGAACCATGGAGACTTGGCAGTGAAATTCTTCCAAAGGTGAGTAGGGACATCGATTTTCCTTCTCATGCCTAGAGAAATATGACACAAGGAATGGAAGCTAAATTTAGACTGGAAACAAGTCTTACATGAAACTATAGCTTTAAGAAATTAGCAGTAATTTTTTCAGAAAAAAATAAATGAGGAAATTTTATTAGAATCTGAACATATACAATTTTCTTATTTATTTTTCTTAGATTCACTTCTTTTTTTTTATTCTCTTGGGGACTTTGGGAAAAAACCTATTGACTCTTTGACATTTATCTGTAGTGCAGATCCAGTGATTTCCTTGTGGAATTCTTGTGTTAGCCAATATAAAACAGTCTCTTTCTTAAATCTATAACCAAGAATGCAATAGCCTTTCAGTTTCTAAGAAAAAGTATATTATTTACAGAATTGCATTTAAAAATATGAGCCCATCACTGAACTTCCTTATTTAAACTGTATATTTTTACAGCTAATTTGTGCTATAATTTTTCGACACAACTTGCTTGTTCGTTTACTTATTTTACAGTTTCTTCTAGATTTCTCAAAGTTGAAAACCTATTCATAATGCTTTGGTTGTTTCACTGCCTTGCTTAGCATTCCATTCGTGCAGGCAGGCAGTGTTCCTAGGTTTGGATGTATAAATCCCATGGGAAGTCAGCTGAAGAACATTTTATGCATCACTCATCCTGTTTTGAGCCCAGTGCTCTTCCATCTCTCTAAAAGGTAAGAGATTTATTGTGAGCTGCCTTCCAGAAGTAGAAAATGTTGTATGCTAATGGATCTTGCTTCAAAGTGTATGTTTTTGGAAATCATAATAAGGATATAGAAATTGTTTCAAAAGCAAATTGGAACAATTTAAGTTACCCACACACTATATAGCACGCTTACCTGTCCCTAGGTAGCATTTGGTTATTCTATTCTGGGACCCACATTCTATAGTATTATCTTCCTCATGTGAATGAGGTAGTAAATTGGTCATTTTTACAATGAATTTGATCAGAGTAGATAATTAAGGAGGATAATTCTGGTCTCAAACTAGAAAATTGCCAAATTACCATCTCGTTTTGTCTGGAGGTAGATATAAGTTGAGTTTTAGTAATTTGTGGGATCAAAAATTGATTATAAAAAAGTTAAATATAAAATGCTAGCAAGTTAGTGGTGATATATATAATGACCTTAGTATTGATTTTTTCTTTTTGCTGGTCAGTGGAAAATTCTTATTTACTTTTCTTGTCCTGAACTTTACAGACTGACTGAAACGACAATAACAAAAGTTGTTTATAATTTGTTCTCTAACTCTGGATCACCTAATTAGTATCCTGATTCTGATTATACCCGGTGATAATGCTTTATAAAAAAGAATATTTATTCAAAAGATGTTACTGCATTTTTAATAAAATCACAGGGAAAATGCAACATTTTGGATGTCTCATTTGACAAGGTAAGATTTTCTCATGTCCCATAAAATGAGATTTCATTGGATTTTATTTATCACTGTCCCAGGCCCAAGAAAGTTTGCATTTATCTGTTTAACACAGAAACCTGTAATACAAAGGTTCATATACATGGTCTGAGTTGTGACCAGTTTGAGACCTTTAAAGCCAAGCTATTTGACTATATTATATTTATGTATAAATCACATTATTTTTATAGTTTTCTATCCTTTACAGCTTAGAAAACTCAGCATATCATATAACAATTTAAATATAATATAAATTGTGTACATTATAATTCTCATGGGGGAAAATGGTTTTGTTATGTTAATTCTTAAACTGAACAAACCAAAGACAAGGGTATACTTTGATGTGTTCTAAAGTTAGAAGGATCACTGATGTCAAGGGTTCAGATCCCCGTACCAGCCAGCCACGGAGAAAAAATAAATTAAGTATAAATAAATAAATAAAGTTAAGAGGGGAAATAATTTCGTAGTAAGTGGCAGCCTCGCATTTACTTTTGTAATAATATAATGTCTGCATGGGAAGGAAGAAAAGTACAAAAGACAATGACAAGATCATAGAGGAGCTGAACTTAAGTTCCAGGTGCCTGTAGATACAACATGAGGGTGCTCCAATATCTAGCCCTCTTCATTCGGTACATGCACTGTAATCCATCGAAATGCAGGTGCTCTCTTTGTAGTCCAACATTGCTACCCTGGATGTTTATACTAAAATCTTCCATAATACATAATATTTACATTATCCACCTCTGAGAAATGGAATGTAGCCATTCACCCTTTGGGGTAAGCTTATCATACAACTTTTTAAAAAATGTCAACAAGATGGATATCTACTAGACACTTCGTAATTTGTAAAATATCATGAATTTCTGAAGGGAAAGCAATTAGTCGAAGCATAATTATCTTCCATGTGAGAATAGCCTGGGATGCCAACCTTACTGAGCACAATGTCTTTGACTCTATTATTTTCTTTGCTTGCTTTGTTGCTATCCTTCTGGTTCTTTCTGGATCCATCTCTCTTTTGTTTCCCTTTGACTCCTCTATTGTATTCCAGTTGGCAGTTAAAGAACAGAAACCTAGCAATATGACGGCATGCCTACATTTTCCCAGTCCCACCAACTGGGAGTTAAGCTGACTAACATTTTGAATGCCAGCCCATTTTGTTCACAGCAGGTTGTTAGATAAAAGCACGTCTATATTAAAGAACACACTCTGTTTCTTCAGGTTCTTGGTCTAATTTTTCTTGTTTGCCCATTGAGGGGAGAAATGAAATTAGGTTAGATCAAATGCCTGGGGTATTTAATCAAATGCCCAGTGACTCCTGATTATAGGATGCAGAAATTTCACATTCGAGGATTGACCATGGTGGATTTTGTCAACCAGAATGGGTGTCCCCTTCTACCCAGCATGCTCTTGGGCTACTTCCTACCATTGACTAAATAGAATGTAGTGGACAAATTCCAAAATATTTTAATAATAAAATGGGTTATTAGAAACTTGGGCCAGCCCGGTGGCGCACTGCTACAGTGCGCCGCTTGGGAGTGCGGCGGCACTCCCGCCAAGGGTTCGGATGCCACATACAGACCGGTTCCCGCTCACTGGCTGAGCAAGGTGCGGGCACAACACCGAGGGTTGCGATCCCGTTGCCGGTCCCGGTCCGGTACGGGCGCGACACTGAGGGTTGCAATCTGTTGCCGGACATGAAAAAAAAAAAAAAAGAAAAAAGAAACTAAATATGCAGGGTGAAAATTCCAGCTAAATATACACATTTGTAAAGTACCTCAAACAGGACATTTTACATGTCATTGTTTGCTTCTATTAGAACAAGAAATTGAAAACTGATTTCACAGTGTTATGTTATTTTGATTACTATTACCTAAGTGGTAAGTATACACCTCCTTATGTATTTGTGAAGCTCAGTTAATAAAGCAAATTATATCACACAACACAGCACTCTATTGACCCTTGACCTTTGACCTGCCACTCTGCCATGTGGGATGCTTTGTTCTGTGTCCATGCAGATGACAGCTTAGGGGCAGAAAGTGTCAGGAGAGGCATTAGCCCTTTTTGCTGAGCAGCAGTGGGCTGTGGAATTGTCTCCTTGAAGCGGATTTTCCCTGTGAGTGGTGAAATTGGGATGAATAACATCAGTTCACATTCATACTAAATGTATTTTTAAGGAAGCCTAGATCACTCTACAAGAGTCATTTAGGATGGATGAATGTAATAAACATTTATGGTGGGAAGGCTAAAGTTCTGAGAGGTGTTGAATTACTGTGGTAATATTGTCACTCACTTTATGAAGAAATCAGAATGCTCCTTAGTGGGGGCCACGTGCTCATATGCTGAAATAAATGTTACAAAGCCTCTTCTTCCACTGGAGTTAGAGCCTTCACGTGCGCCATCTTGTCATGGAGTATAAACCTGGTTTGTTTTGTTTTACATTCTATGACCATTCTCTGGATATTTCTTATCAGATTGGATCAAAAGTTAACAGAGGGTGCAATGGAAAAAATATAATCACTTTTTCTGTGAAGTTTTAGCCAGAAAAACATGAGTGATTAAAGGCCAGTGGATGCTCGTACCATGATCGTACCTGGAATTTTTTCAAGGAGTGAGGTCCCTTCTGTTTTAGCAGACTAATTCTTTAGCCAATTTGGCCTCAAGTTGACAAAGGTTTTCTATTTATAAATGTCCCTTGAGGTCCATGAGGAATTTTAGGGACTCATTTATTTTATAAAGAAGGGTTCAGGATCAATAACTTCAAAATGTTTCAAAGTTACCATGTCCTTGTTTGCTTGACTATAGCAACACTGCCATGGATAGAGACAAATTTATTTAGACACTGGTCAGGGCCACCTCTGCTGCACTTTAGTACTCTAAATGGCCTCCTGGTTGTCTAATAGCATGAAGCTTCACATTTATTTAGTTAGTGCCTTCTGATTTTTCAAAACCCTTTCCCAAGATAGTCATGGTTAAGGGTGAGCTTTGGAGGAGTAGAGCATAATGATGACTTTGTGTGTGTGTTTTCTTTCTAATCTTTTAAATGAAAAATGCCAGAGAATGAAATGTCTTTTGTTTTCAAATCAAATAATCGCATAAAATGTGAACCACAATGTAATTGTTACCGTGAGGAGAAAGGAAAGGAGGCTGTCCCCCTTTGGCTGCTATGGTTCTTAGGGGCCCACTGTGCTATCTGTTAATAGGCTTGCAGCAAAAAAGAAGGATGGACCATTTCTTTCTAACATGGCGTAAAGATAATAGTTCCCTTGGACAGATGCATTTTAAAGTATGAAGATCAATGATACATGATCCAGGTCAAATACCTGCACACGCATACTCATATGTGCATACGTGACAAATTGTTCAGCCAAGTTGGCAAACAGTGGAGGGGAAGAACAAGGACTCCTAAGGGTCTGGGATGTTGCCCTAAGCAGGTAGCAAAGCAAGACCACTCTTGATCTGAAGCTTTGGGTGTTAGCTGAGAAATTCACTCACATTTTGCATTTCATCCCATTATATAATGTGATTGCTTTATTATTAAAGAGAAGTTTTAATTTGCTTACCTTGAGTAAAGCTAATAATTGAGATGAGTGTGCCATGTTTGCTCTTCCACGACTCTGTTCAGAGAACATTTATTGGGCTTCTACTGTGTACCAGTCACTATTTTACCCTGTCCTCCAACACTCTCACATCTCAGACATACCTATTCAAGTCTGAAAAGCACAGAAGAGAGAAATACAAAGTTATCAGGCAGATGAGTTGACAATACATAGGTGAATTATAAATTACCATAATTATATGATACTATGTACATTTTTCTACCTAGAGGCATTAGATGGTCATCATTATAACTTAGAAAAAAGCTCCATCACAATTTGTAAAATTTTGTTTTACTTAAAGCGATTCTTCCTGGCTGAAGAAAGTTACATTTGTCTGCTTTCAGAGATACAAAAAGTTCTTTGTTTTCTATTTCTACCTTGATAAATGTTCCACACTTTAAGGTTTTATTCAATTTTCACTTTTTCCTTTCTTCTTTCCTATCTTTTTTGAAAATGAACTGCTGCATTTTTTTCCTTTTTAGTCCAATTTTTGTGTACTTTTTAGTCCAAATTTTGTGTTTTAAACCAGGAGATTAAAAACTCAGTGGATGGGGGCTCTGGCTTCCTTGCTATGGGGTCTAGAATATTGAGGGGTGTGTATGTGTGTGTGTGTATGTGTGTGTGTGTGTTATGATGAAAACATTGCAGCTTAAGTTTAGTACAGAAATGTGGTTGAACTGGAATTGAATTGACTTGTTTGAATTCCTGCTCCACCGGTTACTAGCCGTATAAATAGTTTCTAAACCTGCTTCTTCATCTGTAAAATGAAGAAGGTAGTCATACCACCCCCATAGGGTGACTGAAGATTAAATGAGATGAGTGTAAAGCACAGTGCTTGACATATGTTAAGAAGTCAGTAAACATTAGCAATGATCTTTGATATTATTATTTATTGTGTGTCTGTGCATATACTCACATATCCCATATACACAGTTTTCTATATGATGCATTATTATTCAAAGAATGTTGGCTAATATCAGGAAAATTTGTGAAAAGGAAATATTTTCCTGCCAGCTTTTATTGAGGAGGTGTACTCAATCCTTAATCCTGTAGAATGCCCAGTGCCCTGACTCTCTGCTTCCCTTTACTGGGAAAACCCCCTTTCAAGAAAGGACCTCAAACTCATCCACACAAAGGTCTAGATGACTGAGAACATTTGAGATGCTGCCCTTGTAAAGGTGACTGACCTCTTAGCAAGGATCAAATACAGAGCTGATGAGATTGCAGGCATCTGGTGGCAGCTGGAGAAATTTTTCTGAGTGTGATCTATCCCGTGCCTTTTGGAGAGCTCCCCAGAGTGGGAATAGTTAACTGGGCCAAGGGGTAAGGTTAGTTCTGCTGCTGAAGGTGCCTGCTGGGGCTTTC